CACCGTCGACTACCACACCATCGCCTGTACAACACCAAAGCCACCAACTCACTTAGCCACATCGCCACACTACACCACACCACCACCACACCATACAATACCACCAAATCTAACTCGCCAAACTACACCACACCACTCACAATGAGTGCTACACCAATCTAGCAAAAAAACCCAAACATTGACCTTATAGGTACCGTAATCTGAAGTTGTGATTGCAGCGGCCGCCATCGCATTGTCATCACTGTTGCAGCGGCGAGATCTGAAACTATTATAGTGCCATCATTTGCAGCGATCGAGTACAAGTAACTTCATCACGGCATCCCCACCCAAAAAATCCCTAAAGCAGCAGCTACGCACACCAAAAAAATCACCATCATTACAGCACCGAAGCTCACGCCACGAGCAATGCTGCCCAAAATTGGCATCACCATGGCTATGTGGCTCAAATCGTCACGACGATCTGGAAGGGGCGCTCATGTCAGGTCTGGCCGGCGCCGTTGCATTGCACAAGACAAGTGTCGGAGAAAAGATGGCTGTTGTCACTGTGTGTGTTTGGAGAGAGAAGAGAGAGACGGGAAATGGGTTTGAAATTGGTTGTTATATTTATTAATACCTGATTTGTGCATAAATAAACTTCGCCCCTCAATTTTGAACTTGAAAGTTTAAGTACCTGATTTTATGTAATTTCCACATATTTTTTCCCCTGTTTGGGCTCCATTATAACTAAAAATTTTGGAGAAAATATGTTTTGGAATTTTGATTTTTTGAAGAATGTGTGATTAAAAAATAAGAATTTTTTTTCTTTTTGGTTTACATATAATATTATTTTATGGCAAATGTATGGTTGAAAATAATTTTGAAAAAAATTATTTTGAGGAATGGTGATCAAATAGGGGCCGGTAAGTTTTGTTAGAAAAATTCTTGCTAGAATTGGAAGCGTGTCCTTTCCAAAGAATGGATAGGTTTGCCCCCATGACGAGGAATATAAAGCGTGGATCTTATTTACTTATTTTTCAATCACATATTCTCCATTAATCTACTATTTCAAAATGTATTCTTAGCCAAAAAAGGGGGGGATTGAAACAAGTGCTCCATACGTGTTGAATCAAGTCATTTAAAAACTCATTGAAGTTTTCAAAGTTGACAATATTTAGGGTCTGTTTAATTGCAAAGATGGAACTTAGGTGGAAAGAAAACGAATTTTGGGGAATTGAATTGTCTAGAAATTATTTTCCTGGGAATTGTAAATTATTGTCTTTGATTGGTATAATTTTTTACGTGAAAAATATTGAAATAAAAGTGTTTTTGGTGCTCGTTTGGCTTTGTTTTACATAAAAATTGTCAATTCAAGGGATAGATTTTACTGATTTTGGAGATGAAATTTGTTTCCATTGAAAAAAAAAGGGAAAAAAATACTTGGAATTCAATTTCCCACCATATAGGTGGGAAAACAAATACAATGAAAAGCAAGAAATGGTCACCGTGTGAAGCGAAAATGGAATTCCAATTGTTAGGCAATAAATGCCTATAAAACACCAATAAAATTGAAAAATGGAAAACATTTTCCTTGAAATTGAAAGTGAATCAAACATATCCTAATAAATTTATAGTTTAGTAATACACTTCCATGATAGTATTTTAATGCTACTCGTTTTCTATTTAACATTATGTATGTTACACGTGGCAGACCACGTGGATGTCAGCTAAATAAAATACGACGTGAATGTCAACTAAATTTAAAGGTTTGGGGGTTTAATTAATTTTTTTTTAATTTAAATCGGAGGGTATATATGTCATTTCATGATTTTTTATTGAAAAATTGGATGAAAATGATAATTTTCGCAATGAAATAAAAAAAAATAGGGTGCAATCGAAAAAAAAATTTGAAACATATGGACATTTTTTGCAAAAAACTCCAAATGTCGGGACATTTTTGTGTTAATAACCCATCAAATTATTTTATATAAAGTGAGAAATGGTTTTAAAGAACGTATTAGTCGAAGAACGTGTAAGGTTATAAAACAAGATGTTAATAATTGATTGGGCCGTAAAATAAAATGTGAATTAACTTATTTTTTAAAACAAATTTCCAATATTATTTTTAAATGAATAATATACAAAAATTTAAAAAACCGTTGATTCGAAGCAACTTGAAACACGTCAAGGCATCATTATTATCAACAAAGTGCGATTTAGAAATGCTATTTTTGCAAAGATGATAATAGTAGAAATATAAAAATTAAAATATTTGTATAAAATAAATAACAAAAAAGATATTAAAGACTTTAGATCTAACCTAAAAAGAATTTATTTCTTGTGCTTTACAGGGCACTGAAATTTTTGGTCTTAGAAAATCCTGTTGCAATTGCCAACTAAGACTAGTTGAATTTTTAAATTATATACCATGCCAGTTGAGAGTTTTAAATATTAAATTCCCGTTTAGTAGCAATTTTTCATCATAAAAAATAATATTTTTATCATTATTTTACTATTTCAGTAGTTGTTTTTGACTTATTCACTCATAAGTGGGACCCACTTTTCTATCCAACGATCAAAAAATCAATTATCATAAGCACTACCAAATGAATAAGTCGTTTTTTTATACTTGATTTGAAAAAGGTATCTGATGCTACCAAAAATCATACCTGCAAATTTTCCGAGCTTGATGACGGATAAGGAGCACGAACGTGATCCTCCGATACCTGAAACAAAGGCAACGAGGTGTATTCTCGTCGCCCCTCCGATGCTTAAGTCAGAAAGGGAAATATAAGCGTGAGGCTATGTGCTGAAGAACAATGTAAAAACGTACCTGAATAATGGTTCAAGGTTCTGTATTTATAGTAGTAAGTGACATTCTCCTAATTGGACTCAACTAGTTGGATGTCCTCATCTGTTGGAGTCCTGAATGGTTAAGGAGTTGGTTGAATTCCAGAATTATACGTGAGATAGGATTCTTGTGGGAGTTAAGATTCCTAATTGCGTAGGAATTCTAAAGGATTAACAATCTTCAGTAGTGAAGGGGAGCACATTCCCGAGGACTATGCCGAGGACATATGTTTGCAATATGCGAAGCAGCATGGAGATGTGGTCGGGCCTAGTGTCTCGAGGATGAACATGCTCGAGGACACCGTAGATGGATTTACAACTTTATCAAAATTAGTCCTCGGGATATACTGATCGGGGATATTGGAAAATGGCACCATCAGTATCCATTATCAATATCCGAGCTTTTTATTAAATTGCTCATTTAACTTTATTTATGAATTTCATAATAATAAAAATATAAGTTCACGAGTCAATAGGATGTAATTCTCCAAAAGTGAACGAGCCTCCATAGAGGCATAAAAGGACGAGACTCGAATTTCTAACGTATCTCATGAAGGTCAGTAAAAGAAGATATCATTCATATTATTAGAAATAAAAATAAAAATTTAAAAATTGTTTTATGTTTTATTTTACATTTTAGTAGCATAAACTAGTAGATTACTGAATAAAATTTGGTTCAGATTTTGTAAAATTTTCATTGGTTAAGAGTTTTTTCTTCCCGATTCACTATCGAACTTTTATTCTACTCTTAGTGGGATTTTGACAATTAATATCTCCACGAACTTCTACTTTTTCATTAGAAGAGATTGAGAGCTAATGGACTTTAGTAAGTTGTCACTTGCAAGATTCCCCATCTAATTAAGTTTATCAAGACTTAATTCTTCCCGAGCAACCGAGAAAGTTTGTCAAAAAAATTTCGAGTGCGTTTGACACGTCGTTTTCATGTCGTTTTCAGTTTTCAATTTTTTAAAACACTCAATACATATTTGGTATAATATTGTAAAAAATGCATTTTCAGACAAGGAAAATTTTACAACATAAAACTCAAAATGAATTTTTGAAATTTTGAGTGTTTTGAATGGAAACACACAAAAAATTAAAACAAGGAAAATGAACTTTAAAAACTTCTCAAATTAAAATAATTAATAAAATCACACAAAATCTACCCAAATACAACTTTAAATTTTACATTTTTTGATAACATATTAGCATAAAATTGATATGTCTTACTAAATAATCAAATTAATTGAAAAAAAACCATAAAACGATTTCTAAATTTTTTTAACCAAACATGTTTTCTAATTTTTTTCCTTAAAAGAATTAAAAAAAACAATTTTTCAGAATAAGAAATCAAACGCATTTGCTTTAATCTTAAAATAATCCCTCAAATGGAAAAATAGAAAGTATATTTAAAACTGAAAATAAAAAACAGAATCGCAAACGAAACGCATCTTTAGTTTTTGCTTAGTTTTTTAAAAAGAAAAATGTTTTTCAAATAGTTGAGAGGTCAAGACCTTATAATCGAGTAGATTACAAGATGAATCTAGTATTGGAATTTTTCAAGTTTTTCAATTTTCAAACTATTTTGATTATTTAAATAATAATTTATACTTCTATTATGTGATAAGAAATTAAAATAAAATTTATAGAAAATTATAAATTATAAATATTTTTTTTCAGTATATCTTTAATAAATCGAATTACATTCTCTCTTATATACATGAGTGAATAAAAAGATTCTAAAACATTGAAAACGAAGTCCAAGTTTAGGTTTATATGTGGACATTGGCTCCCCAATATTGACGCCCACAGGAAATTCAAGTGGGACAATGCAAGTAAATGTTGTTTGGCTTCTTATTAGTTTGTGGATAGCCATGCATAATTTTCAATATCAGAATATTTAGCATCTATTTGACTCTCATTATCTATTCTAAAATTCATTTTTAATCATACATTTTTATAGGATCCACAATTTTCATCAACTTTTACTCACTCGCATAGAGTTATTGAATTTATTTTTATCAAAATCTACTAAAAATATTGTTTCTCACTACTTCGGCTATATATATGTACAGTCCATTTAGTGTTTGTTTGGTAGAGATTTTGATAATTGATTTTTTGATCGTTAGAAATAAAGTGAATCATATCCGTAAAATAAGAACTAAAAATGACGGCTAAAATAGTGAACTAACGATCAAAAAATTGATTTTAATTTACTTAAAATCTGTACCAAACAAACAGTATTGCAAATTAAACATGCTTCGGTATTTAATTTCTTACATACAAGTATACAACTGCATAAGATATGTAGATAATTCACAACATTCTCAAATTTTAAATTTTATTGTCCATTAATTACCAATAATTAGCATTTATTGTCGTTCCCAATTATCAAATTTATCCTTCTGTTACTGCTTCCTGGTAAGAATCCGTCCGTTGCTACATCTGATACAAAATCTCTAGCCTCAATATTTGAGCCTTATTTCTCGCTTCCCAATAATCCCCCATCTCTCCATCTGGTTCGGTCGGTGGAGGTATTATTCTTTGAATTAATCTACTTGCAGCAGAAAGACTCACTGGATTTTTTATTTTTTTTACTCTTTTTTCCATTTAGGTGGGTGAATGAGTGAATCCCTTTTTGTGTTTTGTGTATATGGTTAGAACACTGGTATTGAAGAATCTGGACTCAAAGTAACCACATGCAGATTCTGGGTCGTCTTTATTTGTTCCTCGTTGTATGTTGTGTTCTTGAGTTTCATAAGAATTTTCCGGCGTGCCTGTTTAGGGGGTGCATTTTGATGGATTTTATCACATGTTTGAAGCAATTGAATGATTTTGTGGTGTTTGGGACATTGAAGCAAGTTTTTGAATTTTTGGGGCTGTTCTTTTTGTTGGGTTTTGGGTTAAAGCTCTTTCAATTTGATTGGTTTTACTTTTTTACCGGTTTGGTCCGTTTTCTTGGTGATTTTAGAGGAAAATTAGATGGGTTTTGTTCAAAAAGTGATTTTGATGAGAATTTCAGTTCAAATTGCAAATGGGGGTCAAGAAATACTAATGCACCCAGAGTCTATAAAATGGAGGAAAATACAGAAAATTTGAATATGTTTACTGTTGATCATGAAGAAGTAATTACAGATTATGATGAAGAATGTGATGCTGATGAAAAAGAGTATAGTGATGAAGTGGAAGAATTTGATATTACAGAATTGAAGAAACTGGTAAAGATTGAGAGGAAGAGAGCAAATGTAGCTTATGCTGAACTTGAGAAGGAAAGGGCAGCTTCTGCCACTGCAGCTGAGGAAACAATGGCTATGATTTTGAGACTTCAGAATGAGAAGAGTTTGATCGAAATGGAAGCTAATCAGTACCGTAAATTGGCTGAAAAGAAGCAACTCCATGATCAAGAAGTGATTCGATCATTGAAGTGGCTTCTACTGAGTCATTCAGCAGAAAAGAGTCTTTTGGAAGATCAGTTGAGATTGTGTAGAAGAAAATTGAAACATTTTATCAAGAATGATGAATGTGAAGGAGATGAAGAAGGTTCCAGTCCTTTGAATCTCGGGATTGAGGATGCCATTGAAGATTTGTTCTATAGCTCGCTTGACATGAATTTGTTGCTGGAATAGAGACACTTGAAAATCTGTATTGAATGGCGTAATTTAGAGACTACATTTGTAAAGCATTTGGCTTCTATATTTAGAATACTAAACTTACAAAGATAATAAATAGATGATATGCAATATGATACATGGTAAGTTTCAATACTAATTAGATTTGATCTGCAGTTGCTAGTACAGAAGCACATGAGAAAATGACTACATTTTGTGAAGAATGATCGAAATGATGAACAGCAAGGAGTCGGAAAAGCTTTGAGTTCTTTTAATCTCAGCATTGAGGATGCCATTGAAGATGTGCTATGGAGCTCACCTGACATGAATTTACAAACAGAGAGTAAGTTGCTTTTGTGTATACATTAACTTCATTAATGCTTTCTTATTTTGCAATGCTGAAATCAGAAATCAGAAATAAGAATTGAATTAAATTTACTATATGATTTTGATTATTGAGAAAAAGCATCATAATGTAGTTCATGGTCCCCTCAACCAAATTCTCTGCTTTCCATTGTATTATCATGAGTTAATGATTAACATATATAATTACAAATATGTATATTCAACAATGCAGTTCAATCTTTTTATATAATATAACTCAACGTGATTTTAATGTTAATGTAAATACTACCTAGTGGGGAGGTGGTCCTCCCTTCCCCAAATTTTCTATCCTTTTATCCTGTTGTTTCTTGGGATGGGAAGTTGTAGGTGACCTTTTTGTTCTCAGATTCTATTCAGACAAGAGCCCAAGACCGCATTTTTTTTTCTAGGTGCGATGTGGTACTGGCCGACATTCCAAAGGAAATCCGGTAGTGATATTATGGACATTCTTTAGGATTTTTTGGTTTGAAGATGTTTAGGGTATTGCTGTTTCTTGATATTGAGAGCATTGTTATTATCTGAGTTTTCCATTTGCAAAAACTTAATTTCCTATCTTGGGAAAGAAAAGTGCAGTAATTTCACTTTCGAAATATAAATTTTGTATCTTAGACCGAACAAGATTAAGTAAAGAAAAAAGTTAAAATCTTGTCTCTGTATTTTATGTCAATTATTGTTTAACACCGTATAGAGACGGTACGAAAATGCTTAAGATTCTTTTTTACTCTTAAGGTAGTTTATGTTGTGCAAGTATTCTTCAGTGATCTCTACATGAAGGATCTATTGATGTTTTGTGGAAGCTAATCATGGACAGGGATTGCTGGATTTTAACATGGCTTTTACCTAGTGGAAGGATAGTCAGCAACCCTCTCCGCCATTAATGGTATCCTATCCCAACTTTAGGGTCGAGGTCAATATTGAACTCAAGTTGTGTTCCCATAGCTATGTGCATCTTGGGTATACAGTAATAAACGGGATAAGACAATGCTAGATAAGACTGAGGAGAGCTAACATCTTTTTGCTATCGATCGATCATGTCATGTATTGATTACCAAGTAAGAATGAACCAAATATGTGAACCAAATTCCAACTTAGATGTATTGTAGTTTTGAGAGGTAGAAATTGTTTGATACTTAAAACAAAGTTAGACAAGATTTAAAAATATTAATACTTGTCTAATTTAATATACCAAATATATCAATACACCTTCGTCATGTTATTGTGTTGGTGTGCATTTCGAATTCATAAATTGAAACTCAATCCAACAAAATAAGTTGGTCTCTCTCTCTTAATCGGTCAACATTTTTTTTTGCTTTTAATAACTTTCAAGCAGTGTTCTAAAAAATATAAAGCATAACAAGGTGTGGAGGTCAAGCTTTGAGCTAAAAGAATTAAGGTATAAAAAAGCGTTTTCTCATTTTAATATTGTTTCAAAGTGCGTCTAAAAGTGCGAAAAAATAAATAAAATAAAATCAAGGATAATTACTACAAAACCTCCTTACCTTTCAATAGTGTGGAGGAATTATGGCACAATGATGATGGGCTAGTTTATTTCAATAGCTGGGCTTGTGGGTCGGCCTGTCCATTGAAAACTCAAGCTGTCCTTTATCTTGGCAAAAACGTGTTGCTGAAAACACGATTTTTTAAATAAGAACGGAAGCTTCAGATCTTGCCAAGTGTATTCCTCTATACCTTTGGATGAAGGGCTTCTAATGGCTTTGATTTATAATCGACCCTAGGGTTTTCTGATGACAGACCCTTCAGTTTTCTCTCTGACTCTCCAATTCTCTCTGTGATTCCTTGTGTTCTCTCTACTGCACTCTTTCATTTTAGCCCAGTTTTATGATGAAAAACATTAGTCTTGTATAGATCTTGAGTGACCGATGTATAGGTTTTGATCCTTCATTCTTGAGTGAATGTTGTTATGATTTGTGATGCTTATTTTTGGAAATCTTGCTTGACTTCCACTGAGTGCTAAGAGATCTGTAATGGACCGTTCGATTGTGGATGATTTTCAGTGATATATTGATTTTCTTTTGGTTTGACGGACGCTCAAAAGGGGATTAGGAACGAAGATCCAAACCTCTTGCTCTAGAGCAAAATTCATGTGTTCCTCTTTATGTTTTCTGCGATTTCTTTCCATTTTTTAAATTTACGTTTATTATTTTCGGTATTTTTGTCGATCAAACTCGCTGTTTTTTGTGAAATTCGCGGCACAAATTGTATTGTGCAAAATGACGTCACCTTTCATTTTCACCTTATTTTCACCCTTCATTCCGGAAAATGTCATTTTCATTCAATTTTTCAATAAAAAAAATGTAAAATAACAAATATACCCTCTTATTTTAAAAAAAAATAAATTACAATTATATCCCCAAACGTTTTTAAAAACTACAAATAAGTCCAAATAAATTATTAAAATGGTAATTAACACAAAACGTCTTTACCTTTCAATATTATTTTGCAAAATGTCCATACTTTTCATTTTTTAACATTTTCACCTTTTTTTTCACGTTTTATTATGGAAATCATTTTTTCAATTAAAAGCTGTAAAGTGATGAATTTACCTTCCTATTTAAATAAAATAAAAATAAAAATAAAGAAAAGAAAAATAAAGATCAAATCGCTACTTTACTTTCAAATTTTTCAAAAAAATAAATTCTTTTTTAATTATTTATTTGTAGTTTTTGAAAATTTGGGAATATAGTTGTGATTTGTTCTTTATTTTTATTTTATTTAAATAGGAAGGTATATTCGTCATTTTATAGTTTTTAATTGGAAAAATTGAGGAAAATGATGATTTTTGCAATGTAATGTGAAAATAAGGGTAAAATTGTCAAAAAGTGAAAGGTATAATGTTTTGCACAATAATATTGAAAAGTATAGATGTTTTATGCTAATTACCATTTTAACAATTTATTTGGATTCAATTGCAAATTTTAAAAAACTTTGGGCTATAATTTTAATTTGTTCTTTTCTTTTTTATATATAATATATTTAAATATGATGTTATATTTGTCATGATGATTTTCGCAATGTAATGTGAAAATAAGAATGAAAATATCAAAAAATGAAAGGTATGATGTGTTGCACAATAATATTGAAAAATATGGACGTTTTATGCTAATTACAACTTTAATAATTTATTTGGACTCAATTGTATTTTATAAAAAGTTTGGGGATATAATTGTAATTTGTTCTTTTTTATTTAATTAGTAGGGTATGTTTGTTATTTTATATTTTTATTGAAAAATTTGATGGAAATGACCTTTTTCGTAATGAAATAAGAAAATAAGAGTGAAAATGTCAAAAAAAAATATAAAAACGTTTTGCATAATAATATTGAAAGGTAATGATATTTTGTACTAATTACTCTAAAAAAAACTCGAAAAGTGCAAGGCGGGGAACTTCGCACAAACTAAAAGGGTTAGTTACATTAATGGTCCCTAAAGTTTTGAGTAATTACGTTAATGGTCGATAAAATTATTTTTTAAGATTAATAGTTACTCAAGTTTTTAACTATTACACGAAATTAACATTAAATTCTATATGACATCGTTAAGTGCCTATGCATCATGAAATGATGTTATTTATTCATCAAGGTAGCAATATTGAGAAGGAATTGGGGATTAAGCACTTTCAGATGAGAAAAGTAATGCTGCTTTAATTTTGATCAGATTTAAATTCACATTTTGTCTTTTAATGACAATTTTATTGATGTGACATAATAAATAAGTGTGTTTGGTCACATGTTGGTACTTAATGGTGTGTCTTGTATTTAATGTTAATTTTTATATCGAGTGATCTTTAGTATCACAATTATGAACTTGAGTAATTATGATCGTAAGAAAATAACTTTAGCTACCATTGACGTAATTACTCAAAATAAAACGTGACAATTACTTGGCAGAAGAAAAATGAATCTAGACTCGAACCTATATCATATGAGACACAATTAAAAATAACAAAATTCGTACATGTTAATTCTAACTCTAAATTCAAACGATTGACTAAATGAAATATATCAAAGGACCCAATTATTCTGATGAAAATTAGTAAACAGATCTTGTCAAATTGAAGATAAAAATGAAAATTAAAAAAAAAACGCCGGAAAAATAGCAAAAAGTAAAACATCAAATTCTGGTCCCAATTCATTGAACCTTCCAATAATACATTTGGTACGTAATCCATTGCATTTGCATAAATAAGGCGGGTAATATACAAGGATTAAAGGGCAATTAATCAAAAATGGGAAATTACCTATCGAGTCTCCAATCTTTTTCGCTTTGTGGCTTTCATCTCAAACCTTTAAAATCAAACTTTTATTTTTTAAATAGAAATAAGTCCTTGTTTGGTAGGAATTTTGATAACTGATTTTTTGACCGTTAAACATAAAGTGGATCCTATCTGTGAGAGAATAATTCAAAAATAACGATCGAAATAATGAAAATTTAATTTTAATCGGCTTAAAATCAGTACCAAACAAGTTCTAATAATGGCAAAAGCTATTTTTCCCAAGAAAAATTCATCGTGTGAATTTTATAAGACATTTTAATACCGAATTGGCTTGAAAGTGGAAGAAGGAACTAATTGTACCAGTAATAATATGTTAGGGAATTAGAAAGTTTAACTGAAGATTGGGGACAAAAAGGGCATCAATGTTAAATGTTGAGGACTAAATTAGCAATATTGCCTAAACATTGTTACAAGGATAAATTTGTAAATTCATAATTGGTGACTTTCTCATAAATGAACTCCTATAAATGCGTTCGCGTTATTCGTATCAACCTCATTAGTCATTGCTATATTCCCCATCTCAACTACAAGTCCAGCCCAGAATTCCCCTACCCCACCCTACGCTACACTTTCTCTCTCTATACATACACACAGGCATAAGCATATACATACAGTGGGAGAATGGGTGGCCAAAAGTTTGCTGTTCTTCTTTGTGCAGAGGACTCAGACTACGTAAAGAAAATGTATTTGGGGTATTTTGGGGTGTTCGTCAGAATGCTTGAAGAAGAAGGTGAAATATGGGATAAGTTCCGAGTGTCAAATGGGGAATTTCCCGAAGATGAAAAGATCGGAGAATACGATGGATTTGTGATCACAGGAAGCGGTAATGATGCCCATGGCAACGATCTTTGGATCTGTAAACTCTTGAATTTGCTCAAGAAATTAGATGGGATGAAAAAGAAAGTTCTGGGTATTTGCTTTGGTCATCAGGTATGTTTTTTACTCTCACTTTAGTCCCTTTTCCAGTCTGAGCATTTTTTTGTCCGTTCATGGCGGATAAATTCATGGAACCATGCTACACGTCCAGAAGAGTTCACAGATTATTATTATTTTTTCAACAATGCTATGGTGACAGAATTTTTGACATAATGAATGACCGACACTCATATTAACAGAGCCCACTTCTTATTTGGACTTTTTTATTCACGCAAGTGAAAGAATGTCAATCATTATGTAACAAAATTCTAACAAAGTAGTTTAATTGTTATTCAAATTCATGTCTTGTTACAACTCACAGCTGTCATGTTTTTAGAGTGGGGTGAAGAGCGGGGGGGGGGGGGGTGTCTTTTCTTAGTGCTAAAGGGGACAAAATTTGTGTCTTATCTTGTTTGACCATCCAATGGCAAAAAAATTAATTCTACAAAAACCATGATCAAAGAGTCTAATTGTGTAATGATTTGGATCTGTGTCCAAATCGTTATATAATAATTACCACCTTGAGAGAGTATATGTTCGCCTTCTTAACGGATTTGTATCGCGTCCTCTATAAGACAACCTATGACATGTACTTTATGAAAGATTTAACTTGAATCCTAGTACTAGTTGACAATGTGTTAGTTCAGTGTATCTTATCTTCGACCATCACATATAGGTAATTTGTCGGCAATAGCCTCCATATTGCATCAAATAAGTATTAAATTATAATTATAAAATGAAGTTTAATTTATTTGTAATAATACGAGGCCCCAAACATATTCAAAGAATTTAATGAGTTAGTTTGTGATTTAAGCCGGCTTTAATGGGGCATACATTTTCAGTTGAGTCTCTATTACATGGCTTGGGATTGCTTCAAAGGAATAAATTGTTAATATTATCAAAGTAGCACCAGTTGTCATAGAAATATAAATAAAATATTCTAGGAAAATGTCAAAGTGCCCGAATTTTGGTTACCGAATGGATGACCGACCCTCACGTGGAGCGTGGAACCCACGTGAATAAAATAATGTCCAACCCCCGAGGTGTGAGTGTTCGGTCATCCCGCATATCAACAATTATGTTTGTGTAGCATGGTCCAATATTCTATTCACTATAGATATAAATTACTCATTTTTTTATTATTATTTTTTTTTTTGGGAATCGGATAGAATCGATGGTATAGCTCCGATTCTTCTAAGAAACAATTCGTCGATTCGGAATGTTTCTCGGTGATGGTTTGAGAACCGGTTCTCCAAAGTTCCTTTTTTTTTGGGGGGGGGGGGGGGGGGGGAAAAAAGA